GGGAAACCGCCCGCCGTGAGAAGCTCCACCAGCTGGTGTCGGACTTCCTCTGCTTCTTGGACGTTATCCGCTCCAGCCAGGATATCGTCGACGTATGAGTGACGTCGCAACGCTTCCGCTCCTCGTGGGAAACGTTTGCCCTCATCATCGGCGAGCTGCTGGAGAACCCGAAGAGCCAGAAAGGGTGCGGGGGTGGTTCCGTACGTGACCGTTGTAAGACGGAAGTCCCGCACTTCCTCGGTGGGTGATGGTCTCCATACAATGCGTTGCCAATCACGATCTTCGGGGTGTACTCGTATCTGACGGAACATTTTAACAATATCCGCAGAAAAAGCACATCGGAAAAGTCTCCAGCGTGTGAGGACCATCCATAACTCACTCTGCAGTTTGGGACCTGGCAACAAAACCGAATTAAGCGATGACCTACCCGTGGAAACACACGATGCATTGAAAACGACGCGAATCTTCGCATCGTCGCCATCTCCTTTCCATACGCCGTGGTGAGGTAAATAACTGCAGCGTGGCGATATCCTGGATGGGTCGGTGACCGGTTCCATGTGGCCCAATTTTAGGTACTCGTCGAGGAATGCAGCGTACCTCTCCCGGAGACGCGGGTCACGTTCTCGGCGCCGTTCCGATGTTAGCAGCATCCGGGCGGCTGTTACTCGTGTCACCCCTACATCTTCGGCCGGTTGAGAGGAAAATGGCAAACGTACCACATAGCGTCCCGTACCGTCCCTCGAGTGAGTGTTCGAAAAATGTTCCTCGCACTGGATCTCGGAGGGGTGCAAGGGCGCTGTCGTCGGAACGTTTTCGATCTCCCAGAAGCGCTGCAGCGAGGTATGTAGATCGTCATCTCGACGGACGTGCAGGATCCTCGATTGATCTGATCTGGTCGTTGTAGACGAGGCTTGGACTGGTCCCAGCGGAGCCCAGCCAAAAGGAGTCCGCACTAGCGGAGGAACACCTGGTGGACCCACGCGATTCTCCAGAAACAGGAATCCGCACACGTCAGCGCCCAGGAGAGCATCGACTCGAGATGGTACCCTGAAGTTCTCGTCAGCCAATGGGAATCCCT